CTTTTCATCAGGGACAATCTCACAAACTCCTTTCACTTTGCTGATCTTGGTAACTGAACAACAAAGCTATATCAGCAACTTTTCATCAGGGACAATCTCACAAACTCCTTTCACTTTGCTGATCTTGGTAACTGAACAACAAAGCTATATCAGCAACTTTTCATCAGGGACAATCTCACAAACTCCTTTCACTTTGCTGATCTTGGTAACTGAACAACAAAGCTATATCAGCAACTTTTCATCAGGGACAATCTCACAAACTCCTTTCACTTTGCTGATCTTGGTCACAGAATAACAAAAGGAATTTCAGCAACTTTTCATTTAGGGAAGCTCACAAACTGCATCTGCTTCATGAATATGAAATATTTTAGTGACTGGACAGCTGTGACAATATAAACAGAGAAAATATATAACTGCTCTCTTTCCCTTATCCCTAAAACAAAGTGTTATTAACTTAGGAGAGCAAATAAACATCATATGAGATTATTATGATGCAACAATGGGGTCACAATTTAAAAAAAAATTATGTTTGTTTAAATTTGGGGGGGGGGGGGGGGGTGGGTATATACAGTCATACCCACCATGTCCACAAAGTAAACAGTTACAGCAACTACCAGAGCTATCAGCAACTGCCAAAGCTGTCAGCAACTACCAGAGCTATCAGCAGCTACCAAAGCTGTCAGCAACTACCAAAGCTGTCAGCAACTACCAGAGCTATCAGCAACTACCAGAGCTATCAGCAACTACCAAAGCTATCAGCAACTACCAGAGCTATCAGCAACTACCAAAGCTGTCAGCAACTACCAAAGCTGTCAGCAACTACCAGAGCTGTCAGCAACTACCAGAGCTATCAGCAACTACCAGAGCTATCAGCAACTACCAGAGCTATCAGCAACTACCAGAGCTATCAGCAACTACCAGAGCTGTCAGCAACTACCAGAGCTATCAGCAACTACCAAAGCTATCAGCAACTACCAGAGCTATCAGCAACTACCAGAGCTGTCAGCAACTACCAAAGCTGTCAGCAACTACCAGAGCTATCAGCAACTACCAGAGCTATCAGCAACTACCAAAGCTATCAGCAACTACCAAAGCTATCAGCAACTACCAAAGCTATCAGCAACTACCAGAGCTATCAGCAACTACCAGAGCTGTCAGCAATTACCAAAGCTGTCAGCAACTACCAGAGCTATCAGCAACTACCAGAGCTATCAGCAACTACCAGAGCTATCAGCAACTACCAAAGCTATCAGCAACTACCAGAGCTATCAGCAACTACCAGAGCTATCAGCAACTACCAGAGCTATCAGCATCTACCAGAGCTATCAGCAACTACTAAAGCTATCAGCAACTACCAAAGCTATCAGCAGCTACCAAAGCTATCAGCAGCTACCAAAGCTATCAGCAGCTACCAAAGCTATTATACACGTATAGTGGCCACTGCCCAAAGATTTTATGTCATCAAAACCTGTAAATATCTATTTTAAAAAAAAACCAGTTTCATAAGGGCCATAGGGTTAATCTGTTCTCTACACATTGTACCACAAGCATTACTGCTGGATTTTATATAAACAATGTAACCATATCATCATCACCACCATCATAACAGGTTACCAACACCACCAACAAATAATCAAAAATGGCCCCTCCTTTCCTTACCTGCTGTCTATTTCTGTCGCTTGCTTTGTTCTACTCTCTTTCAAATGTTGGTGGAGTATAGGTACCAGGTCAAAATTTTTTGCCATTTTATTATTTTTGCTTTAGTAAATGTATATGAAATATTGTAAACCATGTTTTCAACCAATAAACATAATTTAAAAAAAAAATTACTGCAGGATTTGTTTCCCGATTTTCATTCTGTATATAATTTGCTATGTCAGCTGATTTGGATTTGGTGAGTATATTTTAATGTCAATACAATCAATAAACTGTATCTAAAAATGGCAGTAAATTTGCAGAGATATTAAAATAGCCAGGTGGAAAAATTAAACAATAATACTGACTTTGTCAAGCATTTTTGTTAAGACATCAAATAAATTATTGTGAACAAAATTTATAAATGTATTATCAAAATAAAGACATTTTTGCCTTCGTTATGAACATTTACATCTACAATTTTATATTTTTATTACAATTTTATATTTTCGTGTTATAACCCAGGTGCATTGAACAGAATTTTGTTGTTTAAATGACTACTACAGCACAATTGATTTGTATGCGCATGTAGGAAATGAAGTGACTTTTCCCACAAATCCTTCTGTTTACTTTAACAAATTTGTGCCATATAAGATAACAGCCACATAATCTTTACAGGACATCACAATCTAATCCTAGAATTTATTGGTTCTTTGTGAATCTGCTCGTTATATGTCAGATAGGGCTCTATTCCTCCATTCTACGCTATCCTGTGCAATCCCTTGGATTTGGATGAAATCCAGTCCAGCACCTTTAGCCCCTCTCATTAACATTTGTCTTAGGGTTTCTTTTAAACATCCTCGCTGCCTGGCTCTCTAGCGTAATTGGCTAAACTGGATTGCGCGGTGAGAGGGTGACGAACTCCTTGTGGTCCGGGTTCACTACCGGGGGTAGGCAGAAAAGCCACTTTTTCTCCCAGATTTACGGTATTTACAATGGAATCAAGGCCGAAAGGTTGCGATATCCATAATACTGAGCCTAAGGGTTAACAACTCATGGCTTCTGGATACTAAAAAAAAAAAAACTATCCTCGCTTCCTCTTCTTTTTCTTCTTCTCTTCCACCTTGTACCTCATCGAAGTGTAGGGGGAGAGATGTTACATTTGTTGATGAGCTCTGTCAAGAGCACCATGAAGACTGATGTTCACTTCTGTAAGACTGTTCTTAATGCCATCACTCCATCTTTTCCGAGGTCTTCCACTGGTTCTATACCTGTTTTAACGTTTTAGTGTGGCAGATAGCACCAGAGAATTCTTGTTAGGTTGTCTTCAATTCCTTTATCTCCCATATTCGTCAATTCCTTTATTTCCAATTTTTGTGTCCGTTTGTAATTCTCAGCTCACTTCTTCGCAGAATTGTGGTGTCACTACACATTTTATGTTCAGCAAGTTTTGCCAACTGCTACCATCATCAGAATCAATGCAAGGTGGTCTACCATCTGCCAACAAGACATTCCATAATGGCAAGTCTTTTTAAGGATACTTTATTAGATTACCATCTTTTCTAAACTGTTGCCAACTAACAGAATTAATCTAGAGATGTAGATAAAAAAAAAAAAAAAAAATTATTCTTTTGAAAAGAGTCAAACACCTATCAAACACATGCAATTTGATGTTTTGAAAAGTTGCTCAATTAACTCTACGCATGCTGATTGTTTACTTCTAGCCATTTTTTTTTTTTTAAAATATGTCACAAAAAAGGTAAAACCAAACCTAGAGGTTTGTTTATATTGAAAAAAAAAAAAACATCCTTACAAGTACACGATTATTAACAGATTGCATACCAAATTCCAGGACATGCAGGAGTGAAAGAAAGAGCGGATTTTCTGGCCACAAAAGCAAAAGCTATGGGAACACTTGTATTGGACAAGGGAGATATTCTGAAGACCATATATGAACAACTTTTGGCAAAAGACACGAGATTAGATGAAATAACATGGGCAAGAATGTGTGAATGAGGAATTCAGTGTGGACCCGGCAAGGAGGGACGGGTGAGAGGAAGAGATTGGCGTGCATATAATCAGTGTGCTAAGGGAACAGTTAGCATCTACACCTTACATCATTTACTGCGGTAGACAGAGCATCTATGGGTATGCCCGGTGTGCTATGATGTTGATTCTTAAATCAGTAAATACTAAATTCCAACAACTGATACTGATCGGTTACTGAATAACAGATTTTTAAAGTTGGGCAAGACTTCTGGATCAGATGATAAAATTTTTTTGCTTTTATAGATTTCTTCCTGAGGACTTATAAACAGGTGTCTTGTCATCAGCTGTGACCCACAAATCACAGCCTGGGTAACACTGAGTTGTTTCATTACATTTTAAAAAGCATGTTTGTGCAGCATAAACAGAAAAAATTTAACCAGGAAATGCAAAAGATTGTAAGGCCCTAGCAAGGCTAAATGTTTTTTATGCTGTTTCTTACATAAAAACAGCTTCAAACATTTTACAGGCACTGTGAGTTAAAAAAAAAAAAAAAAGATTTAAAATTCTGTACAAAAGTGATAAGGTTTGCACAGAGAGAAATCCAATGGGTGTATATCAGCAGTGTAGATTAACTGTAAATAACATTATCAAAACCATGTCTTCTTCTTCTTCTTTCACTGCTTAAGGTGCTGAGGGAACCATAAAGTTCTTCTTGCTCTTCTGGCAACCTCGATCACGACACATTGTGCTGTTGTAGAGTTTCTCTGATACTATCTTTCTGTCTTGTTCTTGCTATTCATTGTGCTTTACATTTCTCTCGTCTTTTGGTTGGGTTTTGTATGGTATGGCATTGCAAGGCGTTCTTTCTAAATGGGCAAACTCTTATATTCCAGTTAAATGTCATCTTTCGTCCTAAATAATGTAATATTTTCGATAAAATGGCTAATTTAAATATCAATTTTGGGCGGTAGAAGTGGTCACAGATATCGCCCAGCATTAGCTAAGAGCTTGTGGCTTCTCTCTATAGTGGGATCCCTCCACAAACATGTCCTAATATGGGTAAAGCTATAAGGATCATAACAATACTTCATATACATCAGTATAAGCCTGAAGTACTACCATTGCACATCCTGGTGATTTCTGCAGTTAGAGGAGGGAAAGAGAGCTTTGCCACACAGTTCTTAGTACTTCAGTACTGGGTCAGGAGAAAAGCCAATACACCAGGCTCACTCAATATCTTTTCAGGGCTCATGGCCATGCTGCCTCTGAATTGTTCCCAAAGAATCCAGGCTTACATGTTACTGCTCCCTAGAGGAGGTTGATCGGGGTCCAATACTTCTAACCTGTCTTTATCAGGTGTTCAAAACCAGACAGAATCAGAACAAGCCTACAACTGAAAGATCAGGAGTACTACCTCTTAATCTTTCTCGGCGAAGCCAGGCCTGCATATCACGACTCCCTGGAGCACTGACAGCAGGTTGAAGCTGGTCCCATGCTGATAACTTTGTTGGGCAAGACCAAAGATTGAAATCAGAACAAACCTGAGATAAGGCACTGATATGAGCTAAATCTTCCACACCCCCAACAGTGTGTCTCCTTTGTCTAGGTCTTGCTCCCAGATTTATAGTGTCTGTTTTCTCCTCTTTTAATATTTGCCTACTAGTTGGAGGTTTATCTCCTAGAAAAAAATTTGCTTGCCTATTTGTGGTATTAAGACTCTGATTATTGTCTTCTTTTGAAGATTTGAAGACCAGGCCTAGTTCACGTCTGTCACTCACATTTCTAGTCTTAACTACTCTGTTTTCAAGTTTTTTAGGTTTGGTTAAAATCACAGAGTTAGTGTCTTTAGAAGGTGATGTCGGCTTGCCCAAAAATGCTTTGAAATCTGGTAACTGACGCTTGCTCCACTTACGCAAGTTTGTTCCTGTATTTGATAAAGATGTAACTGGAGATGAGGATGCAGTTCTGGTAATATCATTTCGTTCAAATCTAGAAGCAATGCCAATTTTAGGATCAGACCTAGCAGATCTGTGTAAGCTTGGATCTCTATAAGAGTCCAGCATTGTGTTTACTGTATAAATCTGCTTTGTGTTTGTTACCACAGGTAATTTAGCATGAATGGTGTCATTCTGCAACTCAACCATTCCCTCAATGGTGCTGCCAGTTACTTCATTCCTTGAACATCTTTTTCCTGTGCCTGTAAGTTTGTATTTAGGGTTGAGCAAGATCTGCAGTTTCTGGTCAAAAGTTGCAGTGATGCTTGTCAGCAAGTCAGAACCATCTTCAGAATCTGAAGAAGCCCAGGAGGCCCTTTTATCTTGCTTGTCGATCATGTCTATAAGAGAATCTAGAGAACCATGGCGTCGTCCAAAACTGTTTCTTACAGGAAGTGGATAGCCCACTGCACCACCAATGGCTAGTACCTTCTGTTGATTTTCCTGCAATCTTCTCTGGCAAGGCCCACGCATAACCACAGGCCTGGCTGCATTATGTCCCATATTCTTACACTGGCTTAGAATATCTTCATGTGACCCACCTCTTGACATTCTAGACTGACCGAAAGTAGTAGCTTCTGCTTGGGCTAGTCCAGCTTTATAAGACAAACTCTGACTAGAGCAATCCACATCTGCTTGAACTCCCAGTGAAATTTTTCTTTGACTCTGTTCCCTCTTATCCTGACTGGCAGCAACACAACTGCTTTGATTCTGATTATAAGAAAATGTGTCTCCAACATAAGAGCTACTGACCAGATCTGGCATTCTTGCAGTTGCCAGACTGCCTTTCCATTCTAACCAATCATCCACACTATGGTTTTCTTCCTGCTCTAGCTCAAGTTGAGTTCGAAGATGCTCTCTTTCGACCAGCTCCTTCTCTCTTCTGCGATGCTCCCTCTCTATCAACTGCTTTTGTTCAAAAGTATGAAGTAAAGCACTTACATCATCACCAATTCTCTTCAGTCTGCTTATGGCATCTTGACTGAGACCAGCAGGTTCAGCCGATGTTCCCAGTTCACCATGCTTACCATAAAGAAAGTCACTCTGCTGCTGAGGTCTGGGAAAACTAGGTGATACCTGATAACTTATATCAAGATATTCTGACTTCTTGAAATCTCCTTTATTTACTAGGTCAGATCTGCCCAGTAGTGGGTATGGACTGGAAGAAACTGATAATCTTGATGCTGAGTTCTCTTCAGAATCACTCAGAGAGGATGCAATAGAAACCAAAGACTGTGTCAAATTGAGGGAATCATCCCTGCTGCGATCTCTATAGGTGGAAGTGCTTGCAATGCTACTGCTGTCAACTGTATCAAGAGACTCAAGGCTTTTCTTCTGCTGCTTCTGCCGGAGCTTCTTACTTGCTGCTCCCACAATTGATGAGATGATTTCTTTAGTGCTGATAGCAGAGTCAGCCTCTTCTGTAATTAGAAACATCAAAGTTGTGCTGTCACTTTTGTAAGGTAGGATTAAATTTTGAAATGTAATTTTAACCTCAAAAGTGAAAAGTCAGAAGGATCAACTTCAATGCACAAGTTCTAACCCATATGGCTTGGTCTCTCTGTGCAGAATGGCTAGCCGCCTGCTACGAACATCAAACAAAGCAAAAACTCTGCACCAGAAATGGCTTGTCTATTTCGTCACAGAAACCACCCAGGATTTCACCTTATTCAGTACTTATCAACACATAAGCATTTGTTAATTTTAACTGTCATAACCTACTTTCCTGAACTCTTTGTGACCCAGCCAGTTGTTAACCTCACCCTCCCTGTCCCAATTCTTACTTTAATTCATCCCATAATGATATGTTTTCAACTCTTTAGACTCAAACAATGATCACCTAATAAATTCTTAGAATAGAAATAGTTAATATGACACCCTCTTGGTACAAAAGAGTTAAAATGTGACAGAAAGAGTTCTTAAAAACTATTCAGAGCCAATCCTTTTGTGTTCATCATCATCATCAATTTCCACTTCTGTCATTTAGCATAATGGGGAGGAACAGTTTGCGATCCCCTGCTTGATGGACAGCAATGGCTATTGTCATTCTGTGATGATGTAGAAGCTCTTTAATGTCATCAAAGGGCAACCTCCTGCATTAATATCAAATCTTTTCATGCGTCCTGTCTGTATTTGTAGTTTGTTTTGGCAAATTAGCAAGGAAACTATTGAACATTATAATGAACTAAAAAATTTGTGTTTTTAAATCAAGAAAGAAGGTTTTGATAGAGTAGAAAGAAACTATTCTAAAGCATTAGTGTGTGGCATTCTGATTTTTATGGTACACCTCCTGGCTGGCTGCCTCCGACTTCAGCACCTAATTTTAATTACTATGGTAAGCTAGATCAACGTACTGGCATATGGGACCGAACTATCCACCCTGACATGTGTGTACGTCTGTAAATAGGACTTTGGCATCATAGGTATCATTATCACATCAATGTTTACACTTAACGCCGACATAGCATTGTTGTTTCATTGACCATTACGATGCGTCCGGTGCTGTCCGACGACCTTGACTATGAACTTACATCAAAATGAAGGTAATCAGAAACACACAGTCCTGATGCAGTTTAGAAACACTTCTGCAATCTTCTGGCAGTCAGTGCTTCTGGAGTGCTTAAGGCACTCCAGTCTGGAAAACTACCTGGTTTACGAACACTACTCTCCAAACTAGGCAGTCGGTGTAAGGTAACTATGCAATGGATGCCATTCCACTGTGGAGTTTCTGGAAATAAAAGAGCTGATAAACTAGCTAAGGAAGGGTCAAATGAAGAACAACCTGATGTACCAGTCTTATCAGCAAAAAAAAAAAAAGAGAGAATAATCAAATCAATCAGAAAGTCACCAAAACCGGTAGAAAATGATTACCATTTTGTGGACAGACCTGAAAAAGCTATTATTCTATGCCTTAGAACAAGACACAATCGACTTCATAGCCACATGTCCCCAAAATTTAAAATCGGGCCAATCAGCCATGTGTACATGTGAATTGGCACCTGAGACAACAGATTATGTCCTTCAAGACTCCCAAATACAACACATCAAAGCAAAACTTTTGGCCAAGAGAAACATCACTGCAAGTCAAACTTTACGGGTCGCTGAGCAAATTACAAAAGACAGTGAAGTTCATAATAGAGACAACATTGCAAATATAGATAATTGATTTCAAGTGAACGAAAGAAGAAGAAAAAAAAGAAGTAGTTAGAAAAAAAAACTATGGGATATTTTTGAGGATTTTGGGATAAGAGGACAATTGCTTGACAACATCACAGCCAGAGCGCAGTGAGAACATCATCATCATCATCATCAGGTGCCTTGCCGACTGGCGTGGGCGATCATGCCTCTCCATAATCCGCGATCTCCTGCAGCATGTATCAGTTCGTGTGCCGACACACCTCCATGCCATGCAACAAGACTGTCAAGCATCTTCTCTCGTTGTCTTCCTCTATCCCTCCTTCCACAGATCTTTCCAGTGGTCACAACATGTTCTATTTTCCCTCTTCTCATAACATGGCCAAAAAATGATGACTGTCTCCTTCTGATGTCAGTGATAAGTTGTGATCGGTCTCCCGCCTCTTTTAAAACCTCTTGGTTGCTCTTTTTGGCTGTCCAAGGTATTCTAAGCATTCTTCTGTAAAACCACATCTCTGAGGCCTCTAAAAATTGTTTGGCCTGCCTACCGATTGTCCAGGATTCACATCCATATGTTAAAACTGGATGTATGTAGCAAGCAAGAATTCTTTTTCTAACTCTCAATGACAAGGATATATTGCACAAGATGTTTTTCATTTTATAAAATGCAGTTTTTGCCTGTCCAATTCTGTTTCTTATTTCAGTTATGCATCTTCCATATAAGAGAACATATAAAGGCATATCTGATATGTTTAAAATCAATTCAGGGGTGAGGCAGGGATGTGTGCTTTCTTCTATCTTATTTAATGTACACAAAGAATTAAACCAAAAAAACATTTTGTATGGAAGTGAATTATAAACAGTCAGTTAATTAGTGAAACATTATATGCAAGCTGCAGGAATGTGGTTTTACAATAGAAAATATGCAAATAGGTCTATTGTGAGAAGTGGGTGGGGTGGAAAGGGGGGGGGGGCAGTGGGAAGGCTGGAAGGAAAGAGAGGTAGACGGAGGCCAACAGAGAAGATGTTGGGTAGTTTGGCATCATGGTATGGAAGAATATCTGTATCACAAGACAGAAGGTTGTGGATAGACATGGTTACCAGCGTCACAAGGCATAGACTGTAGACAGTGAGTTTATTCTTGTTTTCCCCACAATGGGGCCCCGGAGTCCCACACAGGGAGTTGAGCTGAGGTGATTCAAGAACCAACATCACAGCACTCGAGGCATTCCTATAAGCTCTCCATCCCCATCTTAAGCAGCCAGCACAGAGTTCCGAGTAGCATTCTGATTATTCACAGTAGCATGATGAGTTAGAAAAAAAAAATAAAGTGAACAGTGAGATTGATTTTGTATTTCCCTTTTAAGGATTAACTTAATTGCTTCAACTGATACTGTTGTATGCCACACATGATTAGTTATGGTGAGATATATATGAGGTACTTTGCAATCTATTGTTTGTGCCTTTTTTGTTCAGTTTGTTAGAAAGTCTACACATTCTTACCATCATCATCTTTAGACTGGGACTGGCCATCATCCACAGGGACAGTTTCCACTGTTGTTTCCGTGGGAATATGGCTGTCTTGATCCCAGGGGCCGAAGAACCACTCATGCTAAATCAAAACAACACAAATGATGAAATGAGCAGTGAAAATAAAGGCATGTACAGCGGCAAAAAACAGGTGAAGAGCTCTTGAGGCAGCAGAAATAGCATAATAAACACACTGGCAACCTGATTGGCACTTAAAGAAGAAGGGTTAGGGAGCTTACGTTGTTCATGCTCAAACATACACTTGTTCCAGTACTGAGGCTCCATTTTATTTTGTAGTGGCAGGTTTGATTCCACATTTGGTAATTGCAGCTTTCCATTTGTATGTTGTCTACTAGTGTGTCTTCCCATCTCTTTCTACTTTTTTTCCATGAGTGACAATCAATACATGTTAAATGTTTTTTTAACATTTGGCAGTGGATTTTTTAAATGATGACGATCACATAAAACAATTAACAATTTAAGTAGCAGTCTGCAATTACACTGGTTCTTTCCAACCCAAGACATTACAGTTTAAAGTAATCAACATTCAAGGCTAGAGCAGACAAAAAAATACTAAAAGACAGAAGGAACTAAATGTGCATACCCAACCCAAGGCATTACAGTTTAAAGTAACAAACATTTGAGTCTAGAGCAGACAAAATAATACTAAAAGACAGAAGGTACTAAATGTGCATCCTTACATGACAGGCCTGCAGGCTACACTAGCCCGGAGAAGATGCTGTTGGCACCTTTTGGTCTTTCCAGAAGAGAGTGCTGTAATGTGCTACAAAGGGGCATAGGAATCAAAACAGCCCATAGTGATGACCTGTTCTTTCAAGACCAATTAAGGCCAGGGATAAAGTTCCTTCTCCCCCCCCCCCCCCCCCCCCCCAAAAAAAAACCTAGGCAGTATTGTAGAGATCATGCGCTGCCTATGCATCTTGATCCCTCCACTTGCCTTTTTACTCCAAAGGAATGTAATATCGATATATGTAGCTACTGTAACTTCTCTAGGGGTTGAACAGGGTATTCACTATTTACCCTGTTGACCTGCCATTTATATTTAGTTTTTTTTTTTTTTTTTTTTTTTGGGTACCATTCAGGGTGGGGGAGGATAGTGTTGGAAAAGGGAGGGAAGGGGGTGGGGGCTCATATTACAGGGAATTCTCAATGTTTATCATTTACTATTACCCTTCTACAGTAAAGAAAAGAAAAGCTGTTGTCTGCACAATGTTCCTGACATTTTCATAACATTTTTATTGGGAAAAACATTCTTTTGCAATATTTTACAGAAAGACGGACTCACATGCAGAATGGTGCTCTCTACAATGCGGCACTGATCTGACATGTCTGTCACCAGAGAGACTGTGTCATCTCCTTTCTTGCGAATCAGAGTGGGTCCAAACATTATGGCCAAGTTTTTGGCATCCATCTGAAGTAAAAATGACATACATATTGTTAATGAAGAATCAAAAGCAAAAGGATCCTTATTCCAGTGCCTTCAGGCGTATTGGGCACATAGTGCTTGAAGACCTGTATTTTACAGAACAATCGGCACTCTGTGGATGATGGGTTCAACATCATGGAGGTCGCCTTTACTTTCCAGGACTTTACCTGGTACCCAGTTAAGGATCAACCGGAGAGCTCAGGTCATTTTTGAAAGAAAAATGTCAGGCTCCATTCAAATTTGAACCCACAACTTTCAATCTGCAGGCCAACAGCTACAACACAGTGACTATCAATGAAGAATAAAACAACAGGAAAATACTTCTTCTTCGTCTTCGCTTCCTCTTTTACCGCTGTGGGTGTCGAGGGAGATATAAGGTTCTGTTTCTAGCTCTTCTGGCTGCCTGGACTATAGGCACATCGTACTGTTGTAGAGTTTCTCTGATGTTATCCTTCCATCTTGTTCTTGGTCTACCCCGTGCTCTACGTCCTTCTTCTCTTCCCATGTATGCTTTGTATGGTATGGTGTCACAAGGCATTCTCTCTAAGTGGGCAAACCATTTCACTTGCTGTCTTTGTATGTAATCCAGAATTGGTTCTGTGCCGACTTGTTCTCTTATGATCTCATTTCTGATCTTATCTCTTATGGTCACTCCTACAGCCCTTCTCAGACATCTCATTTCCATGGTTACTAATTTCCCTTTATGGTTTGTTGTGAGTGACCATGTCTGGCACTGGTAGCACAGAGTTGGAATAAATATGCTTTGAATAAGATGTCTCTTTGTGCTGATTGAGATTGTCTTATGCCGTAAGAGGGGGGCTAGCTGTCCCAATACTAAACAAAGAATTCTACATGAACAGTGGTTGGTGTAGTGGCTTCAATTGTTGGTAGTGGGGTAGACTCAGTATTATAAAGTTGATGTACAATTCTTATAGTATGGCTGGCATTAAATCCAGGAATATTAGGATACAACCAGGTCTCTATTCAGCATCACCCTCATAGTATGGCTGGAATTTCTTCTTCTTCTTCTTGTTCACCGGCTGTGAATTCCGGCGGTAAGTCACGGTTGTTCGTCCAAAATGGACTTTTGGCTTTTACCTTGACCTGAGTTTTGCGTGTCTGGAATTAAATCCAGGAATATTAGGATACAACCAGGTCTTTATTCAGCATCACCCTCATAGTATGGCTGGAATAAAATCCAGGAATATTAGGATGCAACCAGGTCATGATTTAGAACAATTCTTATAGTATGGCTGGCACTGAATCCAGGCTGGTAATGTTTCCTCCTTGGGTTTTAGTTATTTCATAGCAGCTGTACATAGTGACACTTGCATGGCTGGCAGAATAGGAAGCAACTCAAGCACTGACAGTAACAGACTCAATAAGCATTCTTAAAAAGATCCAAACTGGCAAACTTTGACTAGAATGGGTTGGCAGCATCCTGAATTTCCTCCCTGAAGAAACTACACTGGCTGGAAACACTATAATTTGCCTGGGTAAAAGGAGATAAAAGAGCCAACAGACTGGCCATGTTTTCAGTGGCTGGTGGAGGGAAAGGTAATGACAGGGCAGATATAATGAATGCGCTGCATTACAGAGACGTTGACACAAAAGGCCAGTGATGATGAATTGCCTGTTAGAAGTGAGCATTAAAAGAGGATAAGCATGCAGAAAATGGTGGCAGGGCACAGAATGAAAATGTGCCAACAAACTCTTACTGGATACAGTGAGCATGGAGTCAGACTGATGTAAACGTGGACAACAAGTAACAAGTCTGAGTTGTTTCAATGCTGACTCTAACTCTATGCCCAGAAGGTAATTGAAATAGAAGATTACAGAGATGTTTGCAGTATCAAGAACAACCATAATTGCTCCAGACTAAGCATCAGGAGAAGAGATAAAGAAGGCTACTTGTCCATGTAGTTATTATGCAAAGTACCAATTGAGAAGTTTATTCTGTTAATAGATAAAGAAGTCAGGGCAGTTTAGTGAGTAGACACACTCACCTGTTGGTCTGAAGGTCTTAGGTTTGAATCCTCATTTTAATGGAGTTCAAAACCTAATTTTTCTTTAAAATTGATCTTGCCTTCCAAATTGACCTAGTCTAAATGGGTACCAGGTAACGTTCTGGAAAATAAAGGTGGCCTCTCTGATGTTGATTACATATCCACTGAGTACCGACTGGTCTATAAAATGTTGAGTCTATCATCATAAGTCCACAGTGCCACTGGTAAAACTGGTCCTTTACTTTACCTACAATTAGATAAAAATTGCTTGCCTTGCCAAGGAATAGAACACAAGCTCCACAATGTATAAGGTAGACACTGTACCCCTCAGCCATATATACTCCTCCTGAATTTCTCATGGCAAACATTTTATTTTTGGACCAAAGAGAACAGTTGAGTTTAGGAACTAATATCACAGCACTTGAGAAATTACCAAAAGTGCTACATCCCCACCTTCAGCAGCTAGTCAGAGTTGCAATTCTGATGGTACCAGTGGCAGTCTGATTGTATGTCCATCTTGCCTTTCTGTGAGTACCGAGTGTTGGCCAGATCCCCCAGTCACTCCCCACTTATATGCTTAAACAAATCCAAGCTGGTTTTACCTGGTAAGAATAAATTGCAACACTAAGCATTTCGCAAATGGCGGCCCTAACCATCATCTTTGTGCCAGGTCATGCAGGTGTTCAAAGAACGAGTGTGTAGATCATCTTGATGACACTGCGGTTGCTATGGCTGGTCCAGTACTGGACAGAAGCAATGTTATCAATGCCATGCGCAGCACTTACCATGAAGACAAGCACACCAAAAGGCATGACACCGTATCCCTGTCTAGGCTAATGGACATGGCAGCCTTGAGCTGCAAGAAATGAACATTTCACTAAGGGGACAAAACATTTCACAAACCAATACAGAACAGGCGTCATCAGTGGTTTAACATTGTAGAGCTTTTGAGGAGGAGATCTGAGCACCAATGGATCTGTCCGGAGTGCTGTTATGATAATCCCTACTAATCACTAATCACTCTCCATTTTAAGTCTCTCTTCAGATTGTGATGATCTATTTGTGCTTCTGCACTGTTAACTCACTCCCAAAGGGCCTTATAAGGACAGACAAAAGCGACAAGATACACTCTATGTGAATTGTTACCTTGTTTATGTTGCCATAAGAAGCAACTTTATTCAGGTGTTCTGCCATGTGCTTGAATGTTTCATTTTGATGTGGAGGCAGAAGATGGATGAAACGTTTCAGCTTCAGTTTCCGTTTATTCTCATCTGGACAACGATTAGCCTCAATAAAGTCATCATAAGATTCTGTAGAAAGACAATTTGAAATATTCTGAACTGTATTATTGTAAAACTAACCAAGTTTAACTATTCACATTGTTTACATAAGAAAATGTGCATGATAGTCATAATGAAATGAAATTCTAAAATCTTACTTATCACCACCATCATTTCATGCCTTATGTATTTTTGTGCTCAAGTTATCTATCAAGTCCTGAATCCATTCCATGTTGATCAATATCTGCCTCTTTTCCCCCAAAAGTGATTCCTTTCATTACACTTCATTCTGTAAATCAAAATGTCAAAGTATTTCAGCTTCCAAGTCTATGAGCCGATTTTCTTCTGTTCACATCTTGTTGTATGCCACTGTTGATCCATGGTATTGTAGGCATTTGTTTCTGTCTGTATCGCTTAGTGTCTGTGAAAAATCCATGACTCACAAACTGACAATGAGAAGATGCATGTTATAAAAACATTGATTTTAGTTGTGTTTTTTTGGGGGGGTGCCGAGTCATAGGATTTTAATGCTATTTCACCAGGTACACTACTAAGTCCAGCCTTTGTCTGACTCACACTAAACAGTCTCCTAATATTAATTTAGAAGTTTGGATAGATATATATTGCAAGGTTTTTCAAGCACAGAACTACAAAAATCTAAAATATCATTACAATTTAGCTAAGATATGGTTTACATCCTTGTGACTACACAACACTCAAGCACACATGTTACTGTTAGAAAGAGTGGTTTCAGAAGTGAATGATTCCTCTTCTACTTTTGCTAGCATACTGCTACTGGGTTGCAGCCCACTGTCATAGTTTCTTGTATTTAATTTGTGCTTCTCTGTGGTGGCTTAAGTGTTTTTTTTTTTTTTTAATCTTTTTTTCCAGGATTCAGCTTGACTACTTATTCATCTCTTCCTCTAGCCTTTAAACCAGATGTTCTGCTGTTGGAGCTCGCATTACCAGTTTGTCTGGCTGCATTCTTACTAGACGGCCAACCACTTCTTCTTCTTCTTTGTGTTTCCTGGCTCTAAACTCTGGTGGACAGTTCTGCTTATTCATCCACTTCTAGACTCAAGTATTGCTCCAGAACCTGAGTTTTGTGTGCATATCCATTTTACAGATCTGGCTTATTTGTATACAGATTGTTGGCTGTTCACATTTCAGGCAGATGTACTCAAACTTCAAAGGAAACATCCCTAACTGATCGACTCATTTGACATATTAGTTAGGGGGCAATGGGTCTACTCCCCCATCCCCACCACAGTGGGGCCCCAGAACCCACATGGATGAACCATTTTATTACAAGTCAGGCATGGTTCTGTTCCAGCTTTCTCTCTAATGTAAGCAGTTGTGACCCTGCCCTTTTTCATACTGTTGGTGACCTTTAACAGACAGCAATTTCACAGGTGGTTATTTTCTGTTCTTGCGATCTATTCATTGTTTGGCACTGGTAGCATAGAGTGGGAATAAAGATGCTATTAATTTTGAGATATTTGGATGTCTGAGTAGTAAGACTAGCTAATAAGTGACAGTATTTGCAGTAAATGATTTGATCTATCTAATCTGGATATCTTGAAAGATCTGAACATGTAGGAAGATTGGCTAATAAACAGCATCATGTCTCGGAAGCTGAAATATTTTGGTCATATCAAGCGCCACAATGGATTGAAAAAAATAATAGCAGAAGGCATGGTACCAGGAAGGAGGGGCAGGGGGGCGACCAACATGAAGATGGACACAGGATATAAATGACTCCTTGAGTATGAAAGTACATGAGGCGGGAGACCTGGCGAAAGACCGAGTTTCTTTCTGGCAGACCGTGATGAGAGCGACATTCTGCAAAGGACCTGCCACATGATGATGATGCATCTGGAAAAAGTTTCTACAGTGAGGGCAGAAGAATGCTAACTCTTAATCAGAGAGAGAGAGATAGCCATATATCCATTAAAAAACCCACATTTATTTAGCCAAAATCTGAGTCTACAAAAGTAAACATTCTTTACTCAGAATACATACCTGCAGGAATGAGAGGTTCTGGAAGTTTCCTGAAGAATGATTTCAGCAAACTGCTAATAACATTGATATCCAGCAGCTTTTCATTGTCTATGTTGACACTGTCAATGCCACGGTTGAATTCTTCGGTCAAGGCATTGACTGCTGCAGAATTTCCCGGTACTCGATACACACCGACACACTCTAATCCACGAGCTTCCACAATGCGGGTGCACAGTTCCACAATGAGAGGAACATACTGGAGAATATTGTCACTTTAATTAGTTTTATTTCTGGACAATAAACTTAACAGAGCATTAACAAATCTGCAGATTGTTTACATAAACTATACATTAAAAAAAAGAATGATTCCCATCATATGCCATGTGGCATTTTCAGAATGCGCTGTGCCGATATTTGTTAAGGTTTATTTGTTTATTTAACAGATCAACACCATGGCACACGGGTGTAATCCATAAGTGCTCCGTTCTACTTCTAACTGAAGCCTGGGTCTGAAGAATCTCAGCGCAGTGCACAAACTCTGTTGTACCGGCGAGGATCTGGCCCATACTGGCCAATATTTGTTATTCAATCAATAAGTGAGAGATTATGTTGTCTTCTTCTTCCTTCCATTCACCGGCTGTGAACTCCGACGTAAAGTTCTGGTTGTTCCAGAACCTGAGTGCACATCCTTTTCAAAGGTCTCACTCATTTGCATGCAGACTGTTAGCTCCTTGCCTCACATTGAGATGTACTCCAACTTTGAAGGAACCTTCCAATTAGTCAATTGTTACAACATGCTTGTTGGGGAGACAGTGGGCCTATTCATTTTCCCCCCACAATGGGGCCTCGGAACCCACACAGGGAGATGACGTGAGTATTATGCTGGTCCCATTTAACTAATCAAACAGTGTGGTACCACCACATGTTATGTTGCAAACAGTGGGGAATGGAGTGTGAGAAGCAACAACAAATTCTTAATCTATGTATATTATCACTAATTGAAGGCTAATAGATTGCAATGGTTGCAGCCTACAGAGGGAATAGCAGATAGCAGAGACACACAAACTGTGTACATAACAGATTTGAATGGGAGTAGATCACAAGCAGTCCAAGTCCATGAAGAAGGTAAAAGTAAAGTAAAGGACCCTTTTCCACTAATTTTAGGCATATTGTATAAATAGGGCTAGACCTATATTTTATAGACCAACGGCACTTGGTGGGTGATGTGGTCAGCATCACGCCGGCTGCCTTTACTTCTTAGGACTGTACCTGGTACCCACTCAAGGCTGGGTCGATCTGGAACCCAAGGTCATTTAGGAAAAAAAAAGTCAGGCAACCCTAGAACAAGGTGGAGAGATTATAAAAATATATATTTATTTATAAGGCAGACCTATAACATTTAGAGTCGCCACCTAGAAAGAGAAGGCCAATGATAGAAATGAATGGAGGTGGTGATATTGGCAGCAATGAACCTCTAGGCCAAGAATGCTAAAGAAGAAGAAGAAGAACTATTTAGAAACATAGAAAAATCTCTTTAAAGAAATTGTAAAAACAGTAACATCAGACTGGGAGACAAGTCTGTTGGTTGTCCACCACATTACTGCTGCTTCCTTGTATATTATCCATAAATGCATAATAATGTAAATCAATGTAGGGTCAGAAGTTTAATGGCCCACTCTGAGGACAAAGAGCAGTGTAGTGGCTTGTCGTTGGCTGCCGATCCGAAAGCCATGGGTACAAATCCATACTAGGGTGAATTTCAGAAAAAACACTGACCACTGACCCAGCATAAAATGGGAAATTGTGAATGTTCCAGGCGTCCAGTCAGTTGTTTACCAAATGATCCCTTGAGTGCTGAATGATCTATAAAAATATCAGTCTAGCCTCATATGCTAGCAAGCCCAATGGGCTAGCAGGAGCACTGAGAAAATCTATACAGGACACTGCTTATGTGTGCAGGAATCTGCACTAAGCAAAAGTTGCTCTTTCGTCTTGCCAAGTACATGGTTTTGAGTATTGGCTATTCAGAAACCATGTTTTGTTCATAAACTGAGATGGTTTTTCTCCTGAAATTTTTGTTAAAAAAAAAAACTAAATTCTTTCAGAAAGGAGGTGTTGATGAACTGTGGTTCCACTGTGTGTGGAAGAAACCTATGGAGATTTCAGGGAAATGTCAGGTGGGAGCATTTTATGAATATGTTTTTCATCCTGTTCTAAATGACAATTTGATGGGTGGACATATTTCCTTACCTCGTTATGAGGGGATGGGAAACAGAACTCCAGGGGCACGCCAAACTGAAACTTATTACTGTCCATATCATGTTCGGCCAGTGCAAGTCCCGCACTGTCGTCGCTGTGTTTCTTCAGACTTTTCATCATAGGTATACGATCCATCCAGCCTTTCTTGATGACTTCCTCTGTTTAGGAAAAATTAATTTAGTTACTGTTAATCATAATAAATTTTATTTTTTAAAGTTAATAATGTTTATTTCTGCCCTCTACATAGTAGCTCATTCAACTATACATACTTTACTCTTTTATAAGTGCTAATCAATACCTGCTAGTTTATTTCCATACATTAATTGCTTACTGCATTTGTCAATGAATAAGACACACTTTTTGTTTTCAGAATAGGCCTTTCAATTAGGCTGCAACTTATACAATGAAGGTTGCCTACCCGTGTCATTATTTTTCAAAGATGCTTTTAATATGGAAATAAATAGTAGGTGGCATTCAAACACACATAGCTTTTAAACTCTAGGTGGCCAATATGCTGTAGAACATAGCAACAGGTCAGCAGAATGTTATTCAGGACCTAAACCATGGAAAAACTATAAGGCTTGAGTGGGCTCAGCCAGATTTGTGGAAAATGAACAAATGAGAGAGGACACAATGTAGAAAAAGTGGAAAATAGCTGGAATGAGAGACCTGCATAATGAAATTAGTTTAAGAAATAATTCTGAGTTTGTGCCAGGAAACTTTCTTTCAATTTTTGGGGGTGCATCTTACACAAGGGAGCGTCTTATACACCAACACATATGGTGCTTGAAAGTAATACATGTCTTTAAATTGCTTACAATTCACCATGTGACAACTAAAATATTTTGAGTTTCAGCAATTACAGGACAGAGACAATGTCTTTCATTTCTGAAGCTAACAGCACAAGTACTGAAAACTGTGATGGTCAAACACACAAAAAGCCAATGTGTGTCCTGCAGTTTGCAAAGTTCAAACAGAAATCCAACTACAACATCACTTTAGAAACCAAAGGGAAACATTAGAGATTATATTGTTAAGAGACTGAATTAATCACTCCCTTTATGGGTTCCGGGGTCCTACAGTGAAGAAAGCAAGAACTGACCCACTGCCTCTCCAACAAGCATATCATGAAAGCTGACTAACTGGGGCTTCCTTCGAAGTCAGAGTGCACTCGAGAGGCAAGGAACCAATAGTCTGTATACCAATAGGTTAGACTGGTAAAATGGACATGCATGCAACACTCAGGTTCTAGAACAAGACTAAAGTTCAGAGATGGAGGAACAACCAGAACTTTCTGCTGGAGTCTAGATCTCTTGAAAGCGAAGAAGAAGAACACATCACAGTTTTTGGTTTTCTTTTGGTATTCTTTTTATTTCTTAAAAAGGCAAAATACCAATTTAGACCAGTGGCATATTGGGCATACGATGCAGGACTAATATCTGTGTAGTCCAACTGGCTAATGTGGTCAACATCGCACTGGCCATCTTTACTTCCCAGGACATTACTTGGTACCCATTTCAGGCTGGGTCAAAATGGGAGTCAAAGGTCAGTTTTAAAATCAAAATCTGACTTAACGTAGATTTAAACCCAAGACCTTCAGGTTGGCAAACAAGAACTATTAAAGCTTCCTATTTTTTTTATTTGCTAGTCTTCAATAATTCAAGTTAATACATTTGAAATACTTGTATTATTTCATTTTACAACATATTGTACATAAACTCTGGGAAGACACATAATTTTTCAGTTCGAAAGATACAAAGTACAATAGATAATTTCTGCCTGTAGAATGTTAACACTCTGCACTTACTGAAAGAAAGAAGACACTGACTGATGGACTTTCGACCCCACCAGGACATCACACAAGCGATAAACACCCGATGACACAAAGTGCTACCATGTGGATGAGGATCACCGTGGAGAGGTCCCAGAAACCGCGTTTAGCCATTAGGCCATATTTATGGCTGGGCTATACTGCGGCCCCTGGAAAGAGCCAGAGTAGGGCTTCAAATAACAAAAAATTTCATCCTAAAAAGGACGGGAATTAATATAAGAAGACACTAGCAGTTACAAGAATATCTAAGAACAGACTCATATACAAAAGTCTAAAGTCGAGAGATTCAATTCCATTGGACCAGATTTTATCCCATATGGTTGAGCTGAGGTGAGTCAAAAATCAACATCATAGACTTGGGACATTTCCATATGGGCTTCATAATTATCTTCAGCAGCCAGAGAAGAGTTCTAATTTCGATGGTACCGATAGCAACTTTTGCCTTTCCCCTTTATCGTAGAATGTTGGCCAGATTCCTTGTGTCTCCTTGCTGCATTCTTCTCTCCACAGAGTAATTATTGATTTGTTAATCTCCACTGTTCACTTGCTCCCAGAAGACCCTGACCACAACTAATTTGTCATGGTTCAAGTCAGCACCAGTCAATGTGTCTGTCTGTTCATTTCCCAACACACTAGCATACCCTGGAGAAAATATATAGCAAAATTCCACAGGGATTTCTGTAAAATTTGAACTGTGACCCAGATTATGTAGTCCTTGAAATAAAAACATGACTTTCAGAGCACTAGGCAAAGGGCTTAGCTAGTCTCATATGCATATATTAACTTGTTTTGTACCAGAGGCCAGTTAAATTAGTTATAAATTGCCTCAAGACGAGCTCCTTGATACTCAAAGATTTGAAAGAGATCAGACACAAAAGCTGTTAGTCATTTTCTTAAAACAGAAAATACAATTAAAAAAGTGACAAATATGGTTATATATTTTAAATAAAATCACCTAAAAGTTTAAGAAAAATGTTAACTACAAAATTACATGTTGGAAAGCTATTAGTGATTAGGGTAAGAAACTGACTGGCACAAACATCTGCAAGAATTCCACTTCATGTCAGTATTTGTAATTATTAAAAACTCTTCAGATGTCTCTCTTTTTTAACAGGCCTACATTTTTCTAAACCAACACTGTAGCTGGAAATGTATGAACTTAGCTGAATCTGTTTACCTTTGTCTGCAGCATTTGATTTCTTCCTTTTCATGTTTGGAGAAGATGACAGTTTTGACTTGAAGGAAAGGGCAGACAACTTCCTCCCTTTATGGCCCAACTGAGGGGACATCTTACTGCTAAACCCAGTGTGTATTTCAACTGGAGAATGCATCAGTTTCTCTCTGTCTGCTGACATTATTTCCTCCTGTTATGAAGAACAACAAAAAGAGACACAGTTATCCACCTTAGTTAGTTAAATAACATGAAGACAATCATAGATTTATGAATTTCAAAACAATGTTCTTCCTGTAGTGAATTTAAATGCTGCAGACCAAAAGAGACGATTACCGAAAATGGCAGAAGCTGTGACAATGAAAACAATGAACAATTTCACATTCTGCAAACAACATGAGCATGTGGTACATTTGAAATCACTGTGCTACCACATGACTACCTTTAGTTTCCAGTTGCTAGGATGTACAGTGTGATTAGAGAAGATGGTGTGATTTGTGTATTTCAGTGGAAAAGATTCCGCTTTTGCGCTTCATTACATGTTGATATAACTCTGTAGTAATGCATCTGATGTTATACAAAGAAATATGCCAGACAATAAATTGTGCAATGTATTTTTATGTCCACATTATTTAAATGTATTTATATGAGTATTAGATATCCATGACTGCTTACAGAGTTTGCCAGCTCTAGGAAAAAAAAATAATTAGCCTCATATTTTATATAAATATAATAAAACAGGGAATACCCACTGTAGAAAATTGCTCACATCACAGCCCTCTTAAAGATGTGGTAAATTAAGAAAAGAAGCTGTTTTTTTTTCTTTTTCTTTTGTCAATACTTGTGCGCCGCTAAGCATCACAGTTTTATTGGTTGATAGTGCACACTCAGCTACTTGGTATGCTGTGAAGTTTTAGGCTGTCAGAGACACTGCCAATTAATTTTCTTCTGGGACTTCCTCTGCCTCTAAATGCTTTAATTACTATGTTGTATACTCTCACTTAGAATACCCTGGACAGCCAAAAAGAGCAACCAAGAGGTTTTGAAAGAGGCGGGAGCCCGAAGACAACTTATCACAGACTTCATGTTATAAGAAGAGGGAAAATAGAACATGTTGTGACCACTGGAAAGATCTATGGAAGGAGGGATAGAGGAAGACAATGAGAGAAGATGCTTGACAGTCTTGTTGCATGGCATGGAGGTGTATCGGCACACAAACTGGTACATGCTGCAGGAGATCGCAAGGCACCTGATGATGATGATGATGTTACTCTCACTGCCATCACAGCAAACCAAGCCAATAAAAGCACATCCTAGCGCGACTACCCATCATCTACTACTCAATGATGCCTGATGGCACAAAGCAGATACTGATAAGGGTAAGCCAACTGTTTTCTCCTCTTCATTTATTATTATACTAAAAGTTAAAGTTAGCTGCGTATCCTTTACAGTATGTTGCAGAACCAAACCCAGCATTTTTTTTTTTTGCGGTTGTGGTTTTTTTAAGGCACATTTCACGTTTAGCAGTTTGTCATTGCTTTCTAAATAGTCAGCTCTCGGCACCACTGTTGAAACCAAACTGTCTGCAGCTGGGATCAAAGCCGGCACCTCATCATCACAAAGCGCATTTGCAACGCCTAATCCACAGCATTCGCATTCAAGAAGGTCATTTTCTAGAAAATCACCCCCCCCCCCCCCAATCACTTTTCCCCCAGGTCATCATATTTAACTTGGCCAAAATACCACACCTTTCAGGACAGGATGCTGCTTATAAGCTAGTTCTTCTTGATGTTCAGATCACGTAAGATGTCCACATTTTTCTTCTTATTGATACATGATATTTTAAGAAATTTTTTTGTATCATTTCAGCTCAATTTTAATCCATTTCTTTGTCTTCAATGACTGAGTAAGAGTCCTGACTCAAATTCATAAGTTTCCTGACTCAAATTCATAAGTTTCCTGACTCACATTCATAAGTTTCCTGACTCAAATTCATGAGCTTCCTGACTCCCATTCATAAGTTTCCTGACTCACATTCATAAGTTGCCATAGGAAAGATATATGATCTTAAAATTTTATTTAAACTCATTTGCAAGTGTATTTATGCAGGTAGGTGATCATAGTTTATGTTTCAGTTTGAGCATATTTAAATTCCATTCACTACTGCAGTGTCAAAGATAATATTCAGTAAATACTGAAAATAATTTTCACTGTCTTCATTTTAACTGCTGAAATTAATACTGTACTTTCTGCATATCTTCTGTTGTCTTCATGGATAAAGTGAATGATTTTAAATGCTTGTAAAGGTGAAAGAAACTAATTAGACAGACAAAAGCAACTTGTAAGGTGTTATGGGATTATGATGTAGAACTGCTGTAAAACTGTGTGAAAGTAAACCATAGGACAGAACAGTGTGGTCCACTTTGAAAAAAAAAAAAAAAAAAGAAGTAACTTGTTTACTGAGGAGCACTGGCTGAACAGTTGAGAATGCTAGGCTTCCATGCAGAAGATGCTGGTACAAATCCTCTGTAAGGTCACAGATATTTTTTCTGTCAAGGTAATAAAACCCCAACCTGTATAATCTGTGGTCACAACACTAGCCATGCAGCCCAAAATCCTTAGGCTCAAAGACCTTCCTGCCTACATGGAAAAAGTGTTAAATACAGGCAGTAATGTAATGGTGGTTATTTTGGGCAGTTTAACTGTTTGTTACTAAAGGGTTGCACAACATTGTCCCTATTTTTTTACATTGCATTTTTATAAAACTTTATTTGCCTAATGTTATGTACTTCAACTGCAATTCCTTCCTACATTTAAAATGTTTCTTGTATAGGGAAACAAAATATGGGGACATTGCAGATTAAATAAAATTGCTTTTGTTAGAAGATACCTACCAATTTTTCTGTCTTCATTGGTTCATTGATAGACTTAATTCCTTGTATCCAGCACATAAGAGTTCCACGGTCTTCAGCCTGAAATAGGTACTCGCACTCACTGTATGTGGACATTCGGAAGACATTTTTCTTTTTCTTGGCATAATCCCGAGCAAACTCCACCATGCACAACTTGAGTGGGATGTGCTGATCCTCAAAGCAGCTGGATGTCTACAGAAATATTCAAGTGATAGACATTATTTAAAGTTCACATTTAATTAAACAGCTCAGGATTTCACTAAGCTAAAAAAAAGCAATTCGGCCACTACTGGTAAATTTAACCAAAATTAAAGTCAAGAGGATGAACACAATAAAATGGTGTAGCCAGTTCCCTTCTTTGCTGCCTTTCCTCCCCAAGATATGTCCATAAAATTATCTGCAGTTCCCTTCTTTGCTGCCTTTCCTTTCCAGGATATGTCCTTAAAATTATCTGCAGTTTCCTTCTTTGCTGCCTTTCCTTCCCATGATATGTCCATAAAATTATCTGCAGTTCCCTTCTTTGCTGCCTTTCCTTCCCAGGATATGTCCATAAAATTATCTGATAGCCATTTAAAAAAGATGAGGTCATCCAAGAGCCATACAGGTAACAAAATCTTTATATTGCTTTCGAGAATTGAGCCCATACCTGTGTCATGGTAGGCAAGTGTACACTATTCACTTCTTTAAAATAAATTAATATTTTGAACAAGGCTACTTACAATAGACTTTGAATTAACTAAAAAAAAAAAGTGTCCAAGAATTAACTTTCTTTACACCTGTCTATTAACAACAGAATGACATTAAAAAGTACTAAATAACCACAATTAAAATTTGGTCCCATGAGCTGCTGTAAATGGTTTTTTCTTTTTTTAAGTATCCAGAAACCATGACTTTGGCTTGGTACTATTATTTATCGCAACCCTTTGACCTTGATTCCATTATAGATACTGTAAATCTGGGAGAAATGTGGCTTTTCTGCCCACTCCCGGGCAGGAACCCAGACCACAAGGAGTTTGTCACCCGGCCACCGAGCAGTCAAGTTTAACCAACTGAGCTAGCGAGCTGTGCGCTGCGTATGGATAAAATACTTGGCTCTCAGTATCTAACCCTTAGGCACCCTATTCAAAGGTGATTTTTTCTTCATCCATTAAATTAAATATTGACGAAGGCAAGCAGGAGTCATTCAACATCTCATTTTGCCACTATCTAACAAAATTCCTAGTAAAATAAACAAAATTATTAAAACTTACCAATCCACTTTCCCTATCCCGTGTCAGAAACAACTCAGCTGGTCGCAAAATGGCATACACTGGTTTCCAGGAACGGTCACTGCATTTCTACACACAACAAGAATATAGATAAGTCTGACCATGAAAAGTTGAGTTTTTATTAATCTAAATATCTTAGCATTCTGAAAACTGATTAAATTGTTATACAGCCCTTTCTGTCAGTATTTATAATATTTTGAAGTCGTATATGAAATTTCTTCTTACCTTAACTGATCCATTCTTTTCACTGTTAGTGCATAAAACTATATTACAGATATGCCCACTTTCTATTCAGTTTCCCTGAATGACTCTGGTCACTGTAGGGCTTACTGCTACTTATTCTACCAGAAAGATAGGATGACTTGGCATGAGTTGGATGAAGACCTATACTCCATCAGCAGACAAAATGCAGAAGAAGAGGAAGAGGAGGAGCAGGAGCAGAAGGAGGAAGACGGAGAAAAAGAAGAAGAAGAAATATTACAACACATACTTAACCACTTTTAAAAATAAAGTTACAGAATATTTTAATGGTAACCAGATATAATCACTAGCGGATAAAAAAAAAGTAAAGGAACCTTTCCACGCCTTTAGGCGTATAGGGCATATAGGGCATATAGGGCTGGACCTATATTTTTATAGACCAATCGGCACAAGATGGGTGATGTAATCAGCATCACGCCGGCCGCCTTTACTTCCGGGGACTGCACCCGGTACCCACTCAAGGCTGGGTCGATCTGGGAGCCAAGGTCATTTTTAAAAATTATTCCAGCTCTGCCAGGGAGCGAACCCACGACCTTCCGATCCGCGGCAAGCGTCTAGCCGCTCGGCCATGGCGACTCCCCTCACTAGTGGGACCCTGCATATTTTATGTAAATAATGGTTGAAAACAGGGATGACATCAGTCAAAATGATATAAAAAAACTAAATAAATATGATTAGAAATCTTGTGAAAGGGAAGAACAGAAAAGGAAAGACACAGGTCACTTGCATCAGAGTATGGTTCCTTCCATTCAATCAATGTCCTTAGTGATATGTGTGCTCTTTGTTGAAAAAAAAAAAGTTTGCAAACACATTCACAGTTTTAGCTGTCATGTGTATTGTCTTACAAAATGCTTGTAATCTTCAATAACTACAAATCAAAGCAATTTCCTCTTCTATAATTGTAAATTACATTAAGTATAATATGTTTTGCTATTTAATTATGTTAAAAATAATTTCATCAAATCCTTCAACTTAATTATAAATTAATGACATTACTAAATAAACGTATGCCAATTTTTCTGTTCCCCTTCTCTCAAAGAAAACTGGGCTGTTTTCATTGCGTGAGAGCTAAATTGAGTTCCAAGAGCTGACATCACAGCACTCAGTACATCTCCATAAGTGCTCCATCTTGAACAGCCAGCAACAAGTTCCAGCTCTGATTGTACCAGTAGCAGTCTGTATGTGCACCTTGCTTTACATTTGAGTGTGGAATGTCAGGAAGTTTCCTTGCCATTCCCTGTTTCACCATTCTCTGCAGACTGTGATAATCTAATTGTGCCCCTGCTCTGTTCACTCGCTCCAAAAGGGCCCTGACAACATCTAGCTTGTCATGTCTCAGTTTAGCACCATGCAGTGCAGAACCAGATAGTCTATCAGCCTGTTCATTTCCTAACACATCTGCATAGTCTATCAGCCTGTTCATTTCCTAACACATCTGCATAGTCTATCAACCTGTTCATTTCCTAACACATCTGCATAGTCTATCAGCCTGTTCATTTCCTAACACATCTGCATAGTCTATCAGCCTGTTCATTTCCTAACACATCTGCATAGTCTATCAGCCTGTTCATTTCCTAACACATCTGCATAGTCTATCAGCCTGTTCATTTCCTAACACATCTGCATAGTCTATCAGCCTGTTCATTTCCTAACACATCTGCATAGTCTATCAGCCTGTTCATTTCCTAACACATCTTCATAGTCTATCAGCCTGTTCATTTCCTAACATATCTTCATAGTCTATCAGCCTGTTCATTTCCTAACACATCTTCATAGTCTATCAGCCTGTTTATTTCCTAACATATCTTCATAGTCTATCAGCCTGTTCATTTCCTAACATATCTTCATAGTCTATCAGCCTGTTCATTTCCTAACATATCTTCATAGTCTATCAGCCTGTTCATTTCCTAACACATCTGCATAGTCTATAAGCCTGTTCATTTCCTAACACATCTGCATAGTCTATCAGCCTGTTCATTTCCTAACACATCTGCATAGTCTATCAGCCTGTTCATTTCCTAACACATCTGCATAGTCTATCAGCCTGTTCATTTCCTAACACATCTGCATAGTCTATCAGCCTGTTCATTTCCTAACACATCTTCATAGTCTATCAGCCTGTTAATTTCCTAACACACCTGCATACCCTTGAAAAAAAAAAAAAAAACCAAAGGACTATAACTAGTATGAGCCTCTGAAGTGATGCATGCTACTCTGCATGGAGCATACTTGTTCTCTACCTTTCTCATCATGCTTAGTGAGTCAGTTACAATCACATGCAGCTGATTTTATGAGACAGGGTCAGTCATGAAACTAAAGTCTTTATGAGAAATACAGCAGTGCTCATACAAAAGTACTCAGAAAATAATGCATGCTTCTATCAAACACAAAACCATTCATCAATATGTAGGAAAATAAATTCTCACCTTGCCCTCTATAACTGAAATCTTGCACAGCAATGGACCCTTTCTGATAACTTCAAGAGGATCTTCATGGTCAGACAGTCTCGTCTCGCTAACCTCTGCAATGCTAGGAATCTGAACACACAAAGATGAGCACACTATTATTCACTTCATACAATATTGTGTTTGCAACTGCTAGTCTGAATGCTGAATTAAGAACCGAGATCACAGAACCAGGGACACTACTATAACACATCCCCATCTTCAGCAGCAAGCGCAGAGCTCCAATTCTGATGACATCAGTAGAAGTCTGATTATAAACGTTGTCTCACTTTTCCCCTTGAGATTGTTGAGCGCTGGTTATATCCCCTGGTCACTCCTCGCAGCACCCTTACCCTCACATAATGATGATCTATTTACACTGTTCACTCGCTTTCAAAGGACCCATAGAACATCTAGCTTTTCGTGTATAAATTGACCACCAGGTGGTGCAGAACCAGCCAGTCTATCTGCCTGCATATTTCCTAACACATCACCATAACCCGAAAAAAATATCCTAAGTTTGGTAACTACCCAGGACTTTTAAAGTGATGTTTGCCACTCTGCAAGGAGCCTACTTGTCTCCACTTCTCTCAACATACTTTGTGAGCCAGTTACAATTATGAAATGTTTATAATTACTGACTGCTTTAATCAATAATGAAATGCAATTATGGTGTTGGATTGTTGGTGGACTCTTCTGGTGGATGCCTTATGCATTTTTGTGTGTGTGCAAGCTTCCAGATTTTCATGGGCCCAAGTTGTTTTACTACTGTTTAAATAGAACAGAGAAGAGCATTTCATGTGATTCTCACAGACAGAAATGAAGCCATTACTGTGTGATCCATTTGCCATGAATATGGAACTGTGACTAAAAACTAACTTCGTTTTTTATAATTGACCCAAAAAAAAAGATATTATTAATGACTGGAGTATTATAACCTCTCCTTTGGCAATGGGTTGAAATCTGGTCACAATGAAATACTTAAAACCAAAATGAGCAATAGAAAATCAAAGTGAGTCTGGAAATGTGGATATTCAGAAGAATAGGTCGTGCTTCATGGAAACAAAAATATTCAAATATAGACAGGTTTATAGGTTTATACAACGGATCAACGTCATGGCACAAGGGTAGTAACCGTTAGTGTTCTGTTCTTCTTCTAACTCAAGCCTGAGTCCGAAGAATCTCAGCACAGTGCACGAACTCTGTAGCACTGGTGAGGATCCTGTCATATATAAGGGTTCTGGAAATTGGGGAATGAAAAGAGAGATATTGAAATAAATTTTAAAGAAGAGACAAATAAAATAAATTGGCCACACTAAAAGATGAACACTTTTTAAAGTCATACTGGAGGGAAAAGATGAAAGCCAGAGAGCAAGAGGCAGACAATGATACAATGAGACAAGTGGGAGGAAAACATCAAGGGATGGATAAACAGCAGTCTGAGAGGAGCATGTCAGAGACCCACTGCAGCCAATCTTCACTGTGGAGATGGCACCTGATTGACTGACACATGAGATACACCAAGCTAGACCTAATCCTCTTCAGCTGAGTTGAGAACCTAATTTACAAAACTCGGGACATTCACTTTTAAGCATTCTTTCCCCATCTTCAACAGCCCTGTGAAGAGTTAACAATTCTGATTGTTTAACTAAGTCTGATTATATGATCATCCTCGGAGAGTTAAGTGTCGGCCAAAACCCCTGGTCACTCTCCTCTGCACCATTCTTTCCAGACCTCTTTGTAACTGCAGATTGAACCCTGACCACTGTTGTGTTAAGCAAGTGCACTAACCACTGTACCACTATGGTTCCTAGTCTATTTTATATATTACATAATTTTAAAAATAACAACATCAGTAATATATAAAATGGTACACATTATCAACTGATTCATATAAGTGAGAAACTGTGCTGTTAATACACAACAATTCACACACATTAATTCGCAGTAAACTATCCCTTAAGCAAACAGAATAAACAAAACAATGTTATAGTTACCACTTCTCCAAAGAATCTGTTCAGTTTCACTGAACTATGATGTTGACTGGAACTTCCAGAATGACTGTAAATTAGTCAACAGACTACAAGTTAGAATTTGTTTAACAAAACATGAATAATGTGTTAAATCTTAAAACCAGGCTAAACTTTACTTGTATTGACAAAAATACCAAGTTTTCAATATAAAACAGTAAGTGTGTGTGCGCGCGCGCGCGTGCGTGCGTGCGTGCGTGCGTGCGTGCGTGTGTGTGTGTGTGTGTGTGTGTGTGTGTGTGTGTATGTATATATATATATATATATATATATATATATATATATATATATATATATATATATATATATATATGTGACTGACACCTTTCTGTCTTTACAGAAGATAGTGTCACATGAAGTTAAGAGGCATGGGACTCACAACCAATGGCAATGGCGAGTGTGACTAACAAGCTCCGCCTGCGTTAAGAAAAGTCTTCTACAGATAGAGCATGGAATTTCAGGGCCGTTGTTGTCAACATTTGTGTTTAGTCTGTTTTTTCTCAGACGCTCAGCTCTCAACCTTTCTGCAGTCATTTCTTCCTTCATTCTTTCCCTTCCAAATGTGCCCCCTCTACACAGCATGGTCCATGTCCTTCCCCCCCCCCACCCCCGAGTCCACCCCAATACCTGCATCATTCATGTCCCACCTGCATACATCTTTATATCGCAGTAGAGGTTGGCCTCGACACCTTTTACCCATCTTTAATTCACAATACAGGATGACCTTAGGAGCTCTTTCATCCTCCATTCTCCAGGTGTGACCCAGCCATCTCAGCCTTCGTATATAATTTAAGAACGTTAAATTTTTTATACATAATAACCCCTCATGTGGCTTCCAGGGCCCTACTGTAGGAGAAAACATGAGAAGTCTCAATGCCTACTCAAAAGAATGTGTAAGAGTTGACTAATTGGTAGCTTTCTTTGAAGTCAGAGTGCACTCTGGGAGAGGTAAGGAACCAACAGCCTGCATACAAATGAGTCAGATCTGTAAAATGGATGCGCATGCAACACTCAGGTTCTGGAACAAGATTTAGAGTCCAGAAGTGGATGAATTACCAGAACTTTCTTCTGAAATTGACAGCTGGTGAACATGAAGAAGAAGAAGCAGAAACATAATGTTGAAATATCTGCAATTATTTAGAAATATAAAGTTCCAAACAACAGTAATCCAATTTCAATAGTAATATAAGACTCACGAATATATATATTTGTGTGTATACACACACACACACAGGCACATGAGTGCGCGCATATATATATATATATATATATATATATATATATATATATATATATATATATATATATATATATATATATGAAGAATCTTATTTTATATTCATTTTTATTCACTTTTAATTCATATTCTTAGTTAGTTGATAACAGTCACTCACTCTTGGTACTACTTTTAAAAGCAAGATGTTATGTTATTCTTCACATTTTTTTTTCTTTATTACTCCTTAATTTCCCTTCCTATTTTGAAAACATGTGCTTCAAGCCTCACTATCAGATGTTTTATTTCAATAACAGCTGCAATAAATGCTGAAGATGAAGAGGTGAAAGAAGGAGAAGATGAGGAGGAGGAGGAGGAACTATCATGTATGTCATAAGTGATGACTAAGCAAGGTTGGAGTGAGACTTGCTGAAGTATTCCACAGAACACTGCTGCAAATTCTAACCAATCATGTTTAAGGCTCAAAAGGACTTACAAGGAGTTGATCGAGAGCCTATAAATCCACTGGGAATTTAAAAGCAGATTTATAACTGAAAAAAAAAAAAATACTAAGGTAGTAAATTTCTGGTAATCTGGTAATCCTAGTTTCAGCATCATAGCAAACGGGTCACCCCATTGTTGCTCCGCTCCTGTGCCAACGAAAAACACTCGTAGCTCACAGTGTCACACCATGCACTCAACTCAGAAGCTGGGTGACGAAACTTAAATAGTAGTAAATTTAACCCCACCAGGTCATCATGCAGAGTGAAAAACACCCGGTGACACAAAGTGCCACCTTGCGGATGAGGATCACCCATAGAGAGGTCTCAGAAATCGTGTTCAACCATTAGGTTATATTATGGCCCCCGGCAAAAGCCGGGGTGGGGGTTTTGAAATTAAGAAAAATTGCCCCCATTTGGGAAGGGGGGGGGGGGATTTTTTATGCTACATTTATGTTACAACTTAATAAAAGTCACGCTGATAGGCAATTCATAAACTTACTGTGCAGCATGATCTGTGACAAGGTGTGGTGATGAAAATGTCATCTCCAAAGGTGCATTATTTGTGCGGTCCCTGGCAGTTGCCATCAGGTATGAGGTTCGCCTATGGAGTTTGTTTGCTTGATCTTCCAGTGATTCTAAACATACACATATAGTAAAAAGAACACAAGAAGGCATTTATCAGCTGTCCTGACTGTTCATGAATATATTTTCATTATGAAATGAGATTATGAAATGAGCAAACACTTTATCTTGCTGGCATATCGACTACTGGATTCACAAAATCTATAGTAAAAGTACCTTTCGGCGCCTTTAGGCGTATAGGGCTAGACCTATATATAGACCAATCGGCACAAGATGGGTGATGTGGTCAGCATTACGCCAGCCACCTTCACTTCCTGGGACTGCACCCAGTACCCACTCAAGGCTGGGTTGACCTGGGAAAATTTTTGAAAATAGTCCGGCTCTGCCAGGGAGTGAACCCACAACCTTCCAATCCACACGTGAGTGTCTAGCCGCTGCGACTCCCTCACAGTCTATGGCAACATTAATTTATTTTAACTTTTATCCAACAGTGCAGCTATAATTTCATCATCAATCAATAAATTTTCAACACACTGCTTTCCTGAATGCTTGCCAGCCAGCCTTGTGGTCTTTTTTATTCAAATTCCCATCACAGCAAAGATTTTTTTTTTAAATCCAGATTCCCAGCTTGACTAAGTCTGAAATGGTACCACAAAAGGTTCTGGAAGGGAAAGGTAGATTTCAGTCAATCAGTCAGTAGCATGTCCTTTGCAGAACCTTGCTCCCATAACCACCTTCTGGAAAACTTCTCAGAAAGGTAGAGGATTTTATACTGATGAAGAAGAATCTAGCAAATGCTGACTGATTTATAAAAGAGCTTAAGACATGGACAAAGACTTGTTTACAATTCTTATAATGTGGATTATACTCTGAATACCCACATCAAGACTGCCCAGACCAGTACTGATATCAACAGGGGTATTAAGAGTTGACTGTTCAGAGGCAATGGCAATCTATTAAACATTTAAAAAAAAAAAAATTACAAAATCTGTCTAATAACACCAAACAACCCCAAAAATGTTGGGGTTTATTCTGCAACATTATATAAAAGATTTAACTTGGATATCACAGAGCCATAAAGGATACACACATATTTAACTTAGATATTATTGAGCCATAAAGAATACACAACTAACTAAACTTATATATTACTGAGCCATCCATCAGATTCTCAGCTTTCTACTATAACAGTATGGAAGATCAAAAGCTAGAAATTTGGCCCACTGAAATTAACCAGAGTTTAAGGAACAATGTTCAGTAGTACCTAGGAACTAGGTTTAACTCTTGTAGTTTGGAAGGTCAGTATATATCATCATCATCGATGTCTTGCTTGCCCATTATATGTTACATAGCACTTGCAGTTTATTCATCCATTCAGTTCTATACTGTGCAATCCCTTCAATATCATGGATGGAATCCAGTCCAGCACCTTTGGCCTCTCTCATCAATGTTCATTTTAGGTTGTTTTTTGTGTATGTGGAAGTCCTCCCCTCCTCAGTCCCCTTTTTTCCCATTTCAGTGCCAGTCTGGCAATTCAAGATGTGTCTGATATAGTTTTAGTTTAGTATTCAGTGGCTAATATTTCCATCTGGCCATGTCAGGAAAACTTCAACTGACATTTTGTGCTAGTTCTAAATTGTAATTTTCTCCTTATTATAAAATAAGTAAAATCAACAACTCTCACAATTTCTCTTGAATCACTGACAGCAGTAACAATAACCCTATAATGTTCAATTATTTCAGTTCCAGTCATATACATTACATGGCATTCTGTTTTCAATGTGGTCTGGTTGTTGTGATCTGTGTTTTACCTTGAAGTTTTTTCCTCATTGTGACGCTGCTAACATTAAGCCCATCGAATGTCTCTTCTGTTGAAATCTGACCATCTAGGTGATCCGACAGTGAAACACTGTCACTTTCTGACGCATCTGGAGAAATCCATCAGGAGAACAATTTTATGTAAAAGAAAACATCATTGTAACTTTCTAACACATCTGGGCGAATCCATCAGGAGAACAATTGTATGTAAAAGACAACATCATTGTAACTTTCTAACACATCTGGGGGAATCTATCAGGTGAACAATTTGTATGTAAAAGACAACATCATTGTAACTTTCTAACACATCTGGGGGAATCCATGAGGTGAACAATTTGTTTATAAACATAACATCGTTGTCACTTTCTGATATATAAAGGGATATCCTGAAATTAACATTTTCTACACAAACATCACATCTCTTGTCATTTTCTGACATATTTGGGTAAATCCTAAAATTAACAGTTTGCATACAAGCACGTCACCATGATCCCTTTCTGACACATCTGTGGAAATCCAAATGGCGAATGACATTTTGTACACAAACAATATACACTTTGTACACAAACAACATACACTTTGTACACAAACATACACTTTGTACACAAATAACATATACTTTGTACACAAACATACACTTTGTACACAAACAACATACATTTTGTACACAAACAACATACACTTTGTACACAAACAACATACACTTTGTACACAAACATACACTTTGTACACAAACAACATACACTTTGTACACAAACATACACTTTGTACACAAACAACATACACTTTGTACACAAACAACATACACTTTGTACACAAACATACACTTTGTACATAAACTCAGTATTACTGTCACCTTCTGTCACATCTAGGAAAAAAACTACAATTAAAGACTTTGTACACAAACACAACATGCCACATTCGGATAACCGAACAGTAAAGGAAGCATCTAGAGCCTTGTCTGATACATATATAGAGAGTAACTACTTATTGGGTGATGCAGTAATATTTTCCGGTACCAATTTTTAGTTTTGGTAAACCTGGAAGTCGGCGTCTGTGGCTTAGGTGTTGCGAACGAACTTTGCAAAGTGAGGGTGCCGGGTTCGATCCAAGCTGCTGGCCTTGCGCTGGTTTCGGCTGTGGTACTGAGAAGCTGACTGTCCAGAAAACAATGGCAAACTACCGGACATAAATTTGCCTAGAAAAACCACAAAAGGCAAACAATGTTGGGGTTGGTTCTGAATAGGATATGCAGCCAACTAACTTAAACCTGGAAGATGAGGTGATTTTAAACATATGTTGCGTTAACGATTTTAAGCCACGACACACACAGGTAAACAGACAAGAAGTTTATCCAATGCAATTTGTATGGCTTCCACTTTATGACATAAGTGAGAACATTCAACAATCAATTTATACATATAAGCATATAAAAATACACTAGACTATGATTTAATTTGCATGCTTTATTTAATTACGTAATAATGGCTTGACACTGATCATTTACAGAGCGTGTTACTGAATAATAAATATTTATTTCATATTTATATTTGTAAGTTGATATTTAATCATTAATAGCAGAATAATAAATATTTATTTCATATTTATATTTGTAAGTTGATATTTAATCATTAATAGCAGAATAATAAATATTTATTTCATATTTATATTTGTAAGTTGATATTTAATCATTAATAGCAGAATAATAAATATTTATTTCATATTTATATTTGTAAGTTGATATTTAATCATTAATAGCAGAAAAATAAAAAAGGCCAAGGCAATCAAATGGCAGAAATTGCCGCAGGTGTGTGTGGTATTAGTCTAGAACATATCTAAACCAGAGAGTTCCAAACTGTTTGTTGAGACACATTAATTACAGTGTGTATAGTGTGTTGAACAAATGTACAGTGTTAAACGGAATATTATTATAACAATTTATGAATGTGTCTATATCTCTTTTAAGAGATTAATTAAATCTTTTGTTTGCTAGCAGACTGAATTACTGTGTCATGAAATTATGTTTCTCTAACAGGTCTGTCACCAACAGGAACAGTTTGGAAAGCTCTGTTCTAGAGCATAACATAATGAGCTGGGATGACCAGTTCTCTTCCTGGCCACCTTTCCGTATCAATGGCCTGAAAACTCTGAAAATTTGTAAGTATAAATTTCATAAATCCAAGAATTACTGACTGGAAAAAGGAATCCTGTTAATGCTAAAAAGTGAATCTGGACCACTATCCTTGTAAGAAAGCCTCAGTAGAACCTTGTCTAGTATTCCTGTCTGTCAACCTGGCGGTCACAGATTCAAATCCAAAATGAGGTGGATTTTTATTTAAAAAAGGAAAAAAAGATCTGGGTCTCAGATCAACATAGACTTAAGAAAAAAAAAATGAGTACCAGTAAATATATTCTGAAAGGTTAAGGTGGCCAGAATCATTTCAACCACAAACATCAATTGTTCTATAGGGAGTGGGGGGGGGGGGGGCAGCAGCAGCAGCAGAAGAAGAAGAAGAAGAAGAGGATGGGTGGTAGGAGGAGGAGAAGTAGAAGCAGAAGAAGAAGAAGAAGAAGAAGAAGCAGAAGAAGAAGAAGCAGAAGAAGAAGAAGAAGAAGAAGAAGAAGAAGAAGAAGAAGAAGAAGAAGAAGAAGAAGAAGAAGAAGAAGAAGAAGAAGAAGAAGAAGAAGAAGAAGAAGAAGAAGAAAAAGAAAAAGAAGAAGAGGAGGAGAAGAAGAGGAGGAGGAGAAGAAGAAGCAGGAGAAGGAGAAGAAGCAGAAAGAGGAGGAGGAGAAGGAGGAGGTGGAGGAGGAGGAGAAGAAGAAGAAGAAGAAGATTATGAATGAAGGAAAGAAAGGTCTAATATCAATTCTGCATTTGTTCAACTTAATAGCATGTAACTTTTACCTAATGCCTTACTACAGGGCTTTTTAACTGATGAGCCACCGCTGTCTAGCAACTGGCCTGCATATCACTGCCAAATGTAGTGCATTCATGATCTTCTTATGCTGGGGCTCTGGCCCATGACGATCTCTATTTTCAACATCCTGGCCCATGAGTAAGCTTAGTTCAATATCCCTGCCTTATTATAAGTATGTGATAAAATCTGATACTTGAAAACAAAAATGTGTTAATAAAAAAAAAAAGAATAATGACTTACTTCTCTGAGCTGGAGCATTAACTGCAGAAAGATAGGATGGCTTGCGTGCCGGTCTAAATGACTGTATACAGGACACT